TTGAGATACCAGCTGTCTCTCAGCCGATTTTTTGCATTGAGTTGATAGAGTAATTTGAGTTAACAAGCTCGGTCTCAGAACGAATTAAACTCATAAGTCAAGGCCCCACTGTATATGGGAAATTGACTCACATGGTTAGGATGGTGAACTGGAGCTGGCTTGCCCTGGCTCAGAATAATCAAATTTTCAATTGCAAAAATGTTGTGAGCTGATTTTAAATACAGTCATTATTATTTAAAGTACATTTTTATTTATTTCAGAGGAAGGGAGAGGGGAAGCGAGATAGAAACATCAATGATAAGAGAGAGTCATTGATCACTTGCCTCTTGCACATCCCCCACTGGGGATCGAGCCCCCAACCTGGGCTTGTGCTCTGACCAGGAACTGAACCATGATCTGGTTCACAGGTCCATGCTCAATGTCTGAGCCACACCAGCCGGGCTAACCGCAATCACTAAAGTTTAACTTAACTTACAATTAAACAAAATAAAAGTAATAAATACTCAAAACTCCTAACTTACTAATTATTTTACTATTGAAGGGGAACAGAATATCCTACCCCAAAATATCCACTTTGGCATAAGGATTATTTTGAGCTGAAGACAACTGAGAAACAGCAGATGTAATCAAAGCTCTCTACCCTGAGTTTAGCTGCCTAAAAGAAAGAGGTAATTTCCCTTCGAGAAGGTGTTGCCTTTTTCCTTTCCCATACCAGGAGGAAGAAAATAACCATTGTCAATGGCACTAAGGTGGGTCTGCATCAACAAACCTTACTTAACCCTTTTCTTCTATTAGTTTACTCCTAAACTTCTCTTCCTATGTCTTATCATTTCACAAACTTATCTCCATTTGTTATCATGGTATACAATATTAACAGCCTCTTTGGGTTTTGTTATCATGGTATACAATATTAACAGCCTCTTTGAGTTTTCCCTTCCTTTTCTGTGTGCATGTAAAATTGAAATATTAACATCAAATAAAATTTTTATGCCTTTTCTCCTGTGAGTCTGTCTTTTGTCAGTTTAATTTGCAGGCTCCAATTACAGGACCTAAGAGAGTAAACGTTTTTTTTCCTCCCCATCACTATATTTTACTTCTAATTTTCTTGAGGTTACTGATGTTTTTGCAAGCTTGCTCAACAATGGCACTAATGGTAGTTTGAGCTGGAGTCTTTGTTATGGGAGTTGTCCTATGCATGGTAGGGAGTTCAGCGGAATGTCTGGCCTCTGCCCACCAGATGCCAGTAGCACAGATGTGACAACCAAACAAAACTATTCCCAGACATTGCCAAACGTCCTCTGGGGAGCAAAAGCACCCACAGTTAGGTATTACTTGGTCTCCGCATAGCATCTACTGGTATCTGCCTGGTGGAAACACGATGGCAGTGCACTGCAGCACCTCTCTTCCCAGTTGCTGAGGCCATGGTCCTAGCTTGGAATTGGCCAGCGTGGGAATATGTACATCACAGGACTTGACCAGCACCACAAACCAGGGCTTGATTTACTGTTTTGTTGGTTGTCTAAATTTAAGAAAATAGTGGTGAAAATGTTAATGCACACTAACTTGTATGTCACCGTGACATTATGAATAGTACAAAATATTGATGAAATATCTTCCAGGGTTCAAAAATTTCTGATTCAGAAACGAGGCACTCGCATTACTGAGAAATAATTACATTGTCTGTATGTCAAGAAAAAAGAGCGTGCTCAGCTGTGTCAAATGCTGCTGGAGGGTCAAGCATATGGAGAATAAGTTGGATTTGCCCAGATAAACTTGCTGCTGACCGTTTAGTGGAGCAGCAAGGAAGAAAACCTGGGGTGTGCTGAGGGAGTGAGAAAGCTGAGGATAGTAACGATTCTTTGGAGGGAGCAGAGATATGGGGTGGTGGCCAGTTGGTGGGAATGAATCCAAGAGACTATTATTATTTTTTAAATCCTTACCTGAGGATATTTTTTCCATTGATTTTTCTTAGAGACAGAGGAGGGAGGGAAGAAGGGGTAAAAAGAGAGAGAAACAGGATATGAGAGAGAGAGAGAGACATCCATTGGTTGCTTCCTCGCCACCAGACCAGAGGGAGGCAGGATAGAACTTGCAGCCGAGGTCTGTGCCTTTGACCGGAATCAAACCCGCAGACCGATGTTCTAACCACTGAGCGCCTGGCCAGGGCTCAAGGGATTTTTTTTTTTTTTAATATGGGAGAGATTAACATATGTTATGATGTTGTTGGGTATGATCCAGTAGTGAGAGAGAAATTAAATATGAAAGAGAGAGATAAATTTAAGGGTAAAAGTCTTTTGAGTAGTTTAGGAGGCCAAGGTCCAGGGATAAAAAGGGGAGTAAGGACAGTTGATGGCCTTAGATTTAAAAAAACACACAAAAAAACAATACTGAGGCCATAAGGTTATCAGGAGGCTCCAAGAAATTAACCAACGTGAGACCACTTCATAAATCCTAAGATACTGAAAAGTGCTATCAAACTACTGTTCAGGTAATAAAAGATTTTACTTGCAGATTCTGAGATGCAGAATTTTTCTCTGTCCCAAATCAATGACTTTTATAACATGTCATGGCTCCGTTAATCTGGTCAAACTGCACGAAAAAAGCCTGCACGATACATCGCTAGATTCTCCGTTCCATTCGCTTTAGAAAGCTGGGAAACAGCGCCGACGCTCACACCCCGGGATCAGAACCTACACTCCCCATTTCGCTTCTCCTACTTGTGTTACTGAATCAAGTTCCGTGATCTTCACCGGTCTGGTAGTTCCGCTTTTCCTTCTTTCCTGTGATCCTATACCAACGGCAGGTGAAGGAAAACATCTAAACTCCTCCTGAAAAACTCCTTTCCCTTTCCATCTCTAAATAACTGAATGGAAACGCGAACAACCATTTCAAGGGTCGAACAGGAAAGAAGTCCCGGAACGATGTGAGGTTGGTCAGCAAGTGTTTCCCCCTCGGCCCGAAGGTGGAGGCACAGCATCGCCGCAGAGGCGCGGGGTGCGGCGCTGCGGGCGGTCGGAGGAAGCTGGAGGGGCGGGTCGTGGGCTCGGAGGCTGGGGGCCTAGTGGGCGCTACAGAGAAACGGAACGTCCACCAGGCGCCGGACACAGCACGGGCCTCGACAGCTCGGAGCCAGTAGGGCTCGGAGATGAAGGTGGAACCTGTCTCCAAAAAGAGGGGGAGGCGCGGCTGAGAGGGAGGGGACACCATTCCCTTCACCTGCCAATCGCCGCTGGTCTGGGCTCGGCTTCGGGGCTTGGCTTCTGCCCTGGGTAACTGCGCAGACGGAAGTGACGTTTCTAGTTCCGGTCCGTCTCTCCTCTTGGCCCCGCCTCCCGGCCCCGGCCCCGCCCCCGGCTTTCCGGCCCCGCCCCTCGCTCTTCTGTTTCCTCCACTCGCGTGTTCCTGGAATCCGAAACCGTAGAACGTGAGGGTGGTTGGAGCTCTTAGAAGCCCTCAAGGCCACAGTCAGTGGCTTTCAGGCCACGGCTTTTAGGAGAAAAACCAAAGTGATTTTCTGCGAAATTGGACTCAGTATGTTATAAATTCCGGTCACTTCAACCAGGATTTTAAAGATGTTGGAGATACACAGTGAAACCTTTTCTATTTAATTAATTGATTCATTTGCAAATAAGAAAACGGATCTTTCCAGTGATTTGACAGGTCTTGCCCAGGATCAAAGAGTAAGTGACACCGGACCGCAGTCCAATGCTACTTCTGAATGGAAGCTCTTGAGCGGGTTAAAACAGTTTTTAAGTGAAAACAGGTGACCTCGTAAATGAATTTTCAGACAATCTTAAATGATACAAATACCGCACATCTAAAGCAAGTTTGAGTTGCTTGAAATCTAAATGTCTCACACTTGGGCAATGCTTTAGTTTGCCAATGATTATTGCAATGTAAAATACTCTTGTTCAGAAACTGCCCAGCTCTGGTATTTCCTTCCTGTGCTCCTGCATGTAATACAATTATTTTGTAAGAAAGATGATTTGTGGGGGGAAAACACTGGAAGAAAAAATTTCCTATATGATAACATTTGTGCCGAAGAAATTCCCTGTAGGCTAATTCAGTGATTCATTGAGCTTCCAGAGTTCTTTAAAATCATTCTCACAATCATAATAAGCAGGAGGGGTGAGCTGTAGTTCCCTTCCATGTGGTTACCTTGATGCATTAGCATACAGGAGCTATGTATGTTATATGTAAAAATATAACCATGGAAGCATTATATATACTTGTACTTAATTTTTTAATCTTGTAGAAACTATGTTTAAATTTGAATTTATTCAAAACTACAAAACTGCACATTGTTGAATGTACTTATGTTATGAATTGTATTCTTAAATATGGTTAAAATGGTAAACTTATGTATATTTTACCAAATTTTTTAAAATTAAAATTAGAAAACTACAAAACTAAGCTAGTAAATAATTGAGAAAAAAAATTTTAAATGTAAAAAAATGAAATAGAAAAATACATTTAAGGGTCATTGCCTTGTTTATATATTACTTTAAAAATAAGTCCTGCACGGGGGGCCAGGGGCAGACTGGAGGGGGCCAATGGGGGAGAAAGGGGGACATATGTAATACTTCCAACAATAAAAATTTTAAAAAATAAAATAAGCCCTGCAGGTGTGCTCTCCCTCCTGGGAGCAATGCCAGTGCCTTTTCCTGCCCCTCCCCCTCTTTTTCCCCTGCATCTCCTAAACTCTAAGGGACCCAGGAGACTTGCAACCAGAGCAGCAATGGGCAGTGGCAGTTAGTCCTGGGCAAACCTCCTGAACCTGTCCCCAAGGCCCCCTCTTCTCTGACTTCTTCATATATATATTTGTTACAGAAGAACAAAGAAATACCAAGCACGCTTCCTGGAGAAAGGGAGGGACCCCGTTTATTAACACTAGTGGACTCCGGGAATAATTTCCAAATCAGAGTGAAGAAACATGCAGAGAGCCTGTCTATATATATCCCGCTGGGGTCTTTGTCTTGCAGATATGCCCCCTGCCCCCTTGGTGGCCCTGCAGGAAGGCCCCCAGGTGTCAGGCCACATCCGATGGCCCGGTCCTGGCACCAGCATAGCAACCCTCTCCCCCCAGCCTCCCCTCCCCACAGGGCAGTGCATTGTTCACAGTTTCTATGGCCTGACCCGCCTTGCAAGACCAGTTTCCTCCTCATATTGATTTCAGAGGTGAAAGGAGAGGGAGAGAGAGATAGAAACATCAATGAGAGAGAATCATTGATCGGCTGCATCTCACGGGCGATAGAACCTGCAACCCGGGCATGTGCCCTGACCGGGAATCCAACCATGACCTCCTGGTTCATAGGTCAATGCTCAACCATTGAGCCACCCAGGTCCAGCTCTCTGACTTTTTTTTTTTTTGCTTAAAGTATTACAAAGGGTATTACATATGTGTCCTTCTCTGACTTCTTAATGAGACAAAGCAGCCAAGCCTAGCCTCATTTCCCCACCTAATCCCTCTCCTGTTTTCCTAGGCCCTTCCTTATTTCACTGTCCCCAGATTTAATAAATGTCCTCTAAAATTCAAAATAAAATAAAATAAGCCCTATGTATTTTTAAGGACATAATTGTCTGAATTACTGTAGAAATAATTATAATAGTTACAATTCAAGCATGTATTATTTTGCCTCTAATTTGATCCAGAGGAATTCAGTAATTTCTTAGTAAGAGGCTCAGATTTCTTTTAATTGCTCTAATACGTGTAAACATTTTTTCAGTTCTTTAAAAGTATCTTTCTTTTTTTTTTTTCTTGCAATCACATTGGGATTTTTGCCAGATAGTACTTCTTTAAAAAAAAATTCTTTATTGTTGAATGTATTACATATATCCCCCTTTACCCCTCATTGACTGCCTCCCGCCCCTCGCCCTGCTCCAGACCCTCACGGCTCCATTGTCTGTGGCCATGGGCCATGCATATATGCATACAAGGTTCTTGGTTGATTATTCCCATCCTCCCCCACCTTCCCTCTCAGATTCCGCACTCTGTTCCATGCTTCCATGTCTCTGGATCCACTCCGTTCATCAGTTTATTTTGTTACTTAGATTCCACATGTGAGTGAGATCATGTGATACTTGTCTTCTTCTCACTTATTTCACTTAGAGACAATTTATAATTTTTTGAGGAAACTCCATACTGTTTTCCATAATGGCTGCACCAGTCTGCATTCCTACCAGCAGTGTACTAGGGTTCCCTTTCTCCACATCTTCGCTAGCATTTGTCATTTGTTGATGTGTTGATGGTAGCCACTGACGGGTCTAAGATGATACCTCATTGTCATTTGAATTTGCATCTCTCTGGTGATCAGTGACTTTGAGCATGTTTTCATATGTCTCTTGTCCATCTGTATGTCCTCTTTGGAGAAGTGTCTATTTAGGTCCTTTGTCCATTTGTTAATTGGATTGTTTGTCTTCCTTTTGTTAAGTTCTATGAGTTCCTTATATATTTTGGATATTAACCCTTTATCAGATGTATCATTGCCAAATATGTTCTCCCATATAGTGGGCTCCCTTTTTGTTTTGCTGATGGTTTGTTTTGCTGTGCAGAAGCTTCTTATTTTGATGTAGTCCCAACTAAGGAGATATAATCTCTTTTAAAAAAATTATATTTTTCAAAATTTTATTTACAAAATGTACTTTATTAAAAAAGTATATATAATATGTCCCATGATATAACATTCTAAACATAGATTTAAAAACAGCATAATAGAAAATATAAATATCCATTTTTCCTATGTATATCTTTTGTGCATTTATTGTCTTTTGCTAGGTTTGCATTTTTCTTTATTTTATAGTCTGATTCACACTTATAGTAAAAACATTTTAACTATCTCACACAGGTATAAAGCAAAAAGTATAAATTCCCTTTCTCCAGCTCCTCCTCAGATATTGGTGAATATCCCTTCAAACTTTCAACCACATGGATATATTTTTGTTTTTTACATAAATTGTTTTGCATTATACATATTGTTCTGAAAAAAACTTGTTTTTTTCCTGTACACTGTTATGCAAATCTTTCATAATAGTGCATTTAGGCTACTTTATTCTTGCTTGTACTGTATTTCTTTATGTATCAATATCTATTTAGCCAATTCCCTAATGATGGCAATTTAAGATGTTTCCAACATTTTATTAATAAAAACAAGACTGCAACAAATGTTGATATTTAGACAAATGCAGTTATTATATTCACTTGCATATCCTTACATCCCTTTCCTCCTTTTAAAGATCAGGTATTTTTCATGAAAACCGAAGTATTAAAAATGACTAATGGAAATCATGGGTAATGTCTGAACTAAGAAGGAAAAAAATCATGGTTTTAGTAATCCCATTTTTACTAAATTATATTCATGTCAACAAACCAGGAAGCCATCTAAACCCACTCATTTTAAAGCCATGACTGAGTTGGTATGATGGAGGATTATCTAGATGAAGCCTGCTCCCTTCCAGTGGAATTTTTCGAGGGGCTCCACTTAATTTCTTAAGCACATCCTTGTTGTTCCACAGCCAGAAGCTGCCTGGCTTATCTCAACTCAATTTTAACTGTTTGGCAGCAGGTGATGTAAATTTTAAAAATTTAAGATGTCTCTAGCAAAATATCATTAGCCATCAAAAAGGACCTGGGTTGCCCTAACAGTTTGCTTAATGGTTTGGCTCAGTGGATAGAGCGTCAGCCTGTGGACTGAAAGGTCCCAGGTTCGATTCTAGTCAAGGGATGTGATTGTGGGCACATCCCCAGTAGAGGGTGTGCAGGAGGCGGCTGATTGATGTTTCTCTCTCATCAATGTTTCTAACTCTCTCTTCCTCTGTAAAAAATCAATAAAATATATTTTTGAAAAAAATCTTGTATATCGCAGAAGTAGAGTATGAGTTGTTTTCAGTGGATGCATGTATAGTCAATAAATTACAACATGTAAATTGATAAAGCCTTTTATACGCTAATGCTCAATGTGCCCACTTATACCCAATAGTTTATTGTGGCTTTAGCCTTTTGTGCATTTTTAAAGAAAAATGAATTCCATTAACATGCATATACAGGCAAATTTCACCTAAATACAATTACATGTATCAAGAAAATAATACAGACTGTTAGCTATCTGTAACAGTTCTCTCTGAAGGAATCAAATGATTTTGAATGGTATTTTATAAACAATATATATTAAAAAAGGACCTGGGTTTGGAGGACAGGGAGATATGAGGGAGGGCAAACTTTCTATAATCTCAGCTTTGACGAGTCCAAACTCCATGTATCATATATCAATGGCACAGATTCATTAAGATCTGGTCTTACTACAGCTTGCCCTTTATTTTATACTGTGTACTTGTGATTTGGAAAACTTGGGTTTTAGGGTTTTCCATGGATACTTGGCTTTGATTACATTGTTCCTTAATGTGATTTTGCTCTTATCTAGTTAAGAAAAATTCTTACTGTTTTTCAAAAAAGAATAGATATGACTACTTTAAAGTGGTTACATTGTTTTCCAGATTAAGTTAATATTTCAATTAGGGGAATCTCAATATTTTAAGATTGGGAGTGTGGATAGTTCTTGTTTTTTTGGAGTGTGGTTCTTCAGGTAATTCAACCTTGAACTGGTATTACAAGGAATGTGCATTGAACTTCTGGGCTGTAAGTCTTAAGTTTGGACCCTAAAGGCAGAGGAGCTTTCCATTTGTTTAATCTTGGCAATGCAACCCAATGAAATGGAGGAGGAGTGCAGTGAGGAATGGACGCTTGCCTTTGTTGTCAGCTATTAGTGAATCCCAAGATACCAGGCTTGCTGCAGTTTGTTGCAGAGGTTTTTAAGTATCCCTTTAAAATATTAAAAAGAATTACAGATTCCCACCTGACTGCAGTTACCTTTATTCAATCCTATATAATAAAAGGCTAATATGCAAATCGACTGAATGGAGGAAAAACTGGTTGCTATGACGCGCAGTGACCACCAGGGGGCAGACGCTCAAGGCAGGAGCTGCCCCCTGATGGTCAGTGCACTCCCACAGGGGGAGCACTGCTTAGCCAGAAGCTCTGAGCTGTGCTCATGGCTGGTGAGTGTGGGAGCCCCTCCCACCTCTGTGGCTGTGCTAAGCTGGCAGTCAAACACCCCTCGAGGGCTCCCAGGCTGCGAGAGGGTGCAGGCTGGGCTGAGGGACCCTCCCCACCATCCAGTGCATGAATTTTGTGCACCGGGCCTCTAGTATATAGATAATGAATGGTCCCATTGGGGGCGTTCATCTATTTTAATAACTGTGATAGATTGGAAACTACTAGCTTAAGGCACTTTCTCCTTATTTTTATCTCAGGTGTTGGTAAAACTCAGCTAAAAAGTTATGAGTGAGCTTTTAAAAAATATTCCCCACTATAGAATCCCAGCTACCATTCATAAGAGAGTCATCCTCTTCTTCCTTATTCTTATCAGACTTTTCCCAGAGGAGGCTGACTATTACTGAATGTCAAAAGCAGCTTGTAGAAGGAGAAATTGTGTGGTAGGGGGGTAAAAAAACAACCCTGCACAAATATTTTTTCTTCATAACTGGAAATGGAAGAGCGAAAGTGAACAATGAAAAAAAACCAAACCATTAAATATGATGTACATGTATTCCTAGAGAGTGATTCATATTTTGGCAAGCTGTGTTCTTCGTAGCTTAGATTCTGTCTGGATGTTTCCATTGAAGACGCAGCCAGCCTACAAAGAAGTGTAAATCCGGGCCGACTTAAAGTTCCTCTCTTGAAGGTCTCTTCCCCCGGCACTGGCAGATGGATGTGTTATCATCTGGCTGAGGAACAAGTTCCATTCCATCACGTATTTCCGGTTTGCTGGACTGGCGCTCAGCATAATTCTGAATTGTGGTTTTAAAGGCAACAAAAAGATTAGTCCACACTTCATTCCCCTTAATCCTTCCCAGTCGTGCTGTCACTTCTAGTGGCTGCAAACCAAAGGTCTGATGTTACATTTTTCACTTTAGTTGTTGTAGGTACTAGTGTGACATTTCATAATCTAACAAGGAACCCTAATCCACAATTTTATGTGTAGGTAGGAAGCCTCTACAACAAGGATGTCAAGCCAAGTGTTCTGGAAACAACAGCACCAGTTAGCATTTATCCTCCGCGCGTCAATGAGTAATTAACTTTACTGAATATTCAAATCAGATGGTAAGCATCTCAAACTAAAGTTGGTGCTCTCACCTATCACTCCTTTCGGCCTGTAGTCATGCACTCTAGGTATGGTAAATGGTGACAGGCCTGTGAAATGTCCCTCCCCTTTGGCCACTGACAAATTTTCCTAAAAATTGGATATTTCAGTTCAGTGGTTTCAAATACATTGAGCTGGACACTCCTTGTCCAGGGCCAAACCGAACAAAATACTGACATGAACACATGAGCCTCATTAATGTTGTAGGGAGGGAAACGCCTACCAGCCCAGCAGAGGGAACAGAGCTCATCTAAGGGAAAGGTTGTTTCTGGTAAATGGTGTAATTCATCGTTTAAATTTTTCTGTGAGAGGTTGGTATCAACAAGCATCTGAGGAAACATTTTTTTTTCTGCTCACAGGAAAAATAAGTTTAGGTTAAAAACAAGAACATATGTTCTTATTTTTTTTTCTCCCTGGCTAGATGTTAATGAATAAAGATATTACACAAGAACTAATCCTTGGATTCCCAATAAACATTTGTACAGTACTTCGTTATTTAGCTCTCAGGCGTTAGTACTATTATAAGTATTTTTCATTTGTTTGTTTTATGTAGGAAGGTAAATATTTGCTCTCTATCCTATACTATGATAGCAAAAGCAGGACTCGTAAGTAGCAGGAAGAACAAAGAGGTGGGCATTTTGAGTGGGAAGAAATGTTACTGACCTCTACTCTAACCCTCCAATTTTCTAGATGATGAATTCCTTAAGGCATTTAGTAAAAAAGAAAAAAGAAGGAAAGAAAGAAAAAAGGCACTGGCAAGATAGTAGGAGCTGGTCATCTATTTTTGTAAGGCTGTAAGCATTGTTTTTGTAATACCGAGTGGAGATAAAATATGTTGGCTACCAAGAGACTTAGTACTCTTCCTCCTTTAGGCTGGTCCTTGGCTTAACCAGAGTCCACAAGCTCAATCTCAGGAGCACCCCCAGAAGCGAGGCATTCAGGCCAAGCATGAGCCCGCAGGATGGATACTCTGCACTGACCTGCAGTACTCTGTAATAGTAGCAGTAAATCCTGTGTGGCTGTAGCAAGTCCCTGGCAGTCAACTGCCCTTCTTTGGCAATCCTTTTGGCTTCTTCATCATTTTCCTGAAAGGTTGAAAAAGAAACAATGAATGAAAATGACTCCTGTGAGCCACAGACAAAGCTAAAAGTGAGTGTGAGCGAGGACAGGTGTGGGGTTGGATATGCACTGCACGGGAGAGATGGATCGTGATGAAAATATCACCTAAGAATAAGGCTATGGAAACGGACAAAGTGCTCTCCTAGACATCTCTGTTACGTGGAAATGATCATGCATGTTTGTACCCTATTCCTCAGGCCCACTAACAGCTCCCCCCGTCCCCACAAAGTGCAACAACCCACATGCAGCTTCTATTGTGACTACCTTGGTACTTTCCTAGGCACCCAGGAAGTTTAGGGCTCCTCATCTGTTCCCCATTCTAGCCTTCTCTGTTTGATATTAAAATACAAGCTAGAATAGAATGAGTCAGTTTTCATGTTATAACATCTCCTAAAAGCGCCATTTAAATATGCAATCAGAGTCCCAAATTTCTTATAAGATGTTACCAATGAAAGACTATATTGCTGTTGCAATAAAAATTTAGTCACCAGTACCCACAGGCTGTCCCTTTAGTTGTAGGAATAGTCAGCATGCCTAGTTATATTTTGGGAAAATAGCTAATATTCTACCATGCTGCCCATAGGAAAAGCCATTTGCAAGTTATCCTGACTCATTATAAAGGGTCACAATAATTATTCTGCCTCAGGCACCCAGTGATTTCCCTAACCAGATACTGCTTCTTAGAAACAGTAAAGTCTTATAATAAAAGGGTAAATTTTTATAGTTTCATAATAAAACACAATCACTTTTTAATACTTTTCTTTTGAAAAAGAATTCTTATTTTATGGGAGCCTTGTGATTCTTGGATGTTGTATATCATGCCTTCATTATGAACTTGGGCCTTTTTCTAACTGAGGGGGAAAAAGAGCACCATGTTGACTTAAATGTTTTCTTGTGCATAAAGCACTGTGACCCGGTCTTTTCTATCTGTAACTTGCGTTTGGAGTATTTTCGCTTGTGTGTGTATATGCACAAATAGTGATTCCATGAGAATGATATTATATTCTATAAAACAGTGGACTTCAGATATAAAAATCCTCAAAAATGTTGACAGAGGGCATATCAAGAGATAATGATATTGGTTTTTCAGCTACTTCAAGAGAATAAAAACTTCAGAAAATATTTCTTTTGACTAAATTATGTCAAACTAAATGTGTCATGAAGGAATTCCTGGAACTAATTCTGGTGCATCTGTTATTGCCTGAAGAAACTAAAATTCAGAAAGTGTACCTTGGCCCATTTAACTTTCTCTAGTAAATCAGCAAGGTTCCTTTTAATTGGCACGTAATGTTTCCAGGGCTGTAGTGCCATGTAAAAGTGTTCATAATACGGGGAGTCCTGCTTCAGAACCAGACTGTCCCCCAGCATGAGGTACGGGTATCTGTAAGCAGCCACGGTCCCATCCACATTCACTTGATACTTGTACTAAAAGGTTAAAACAAACATAAACAAACATTTTAATATTTGCTTCACTTAGGCTTCTCATCAACACTGTAATACTACACATCAAGGAATTCATTTCCACTTCCTAACTTTATTGTTTAGCAGGTTTATATTTTATTTTGTAACTCGTATTTTCTCTGTATTAACATCATAAACACCATATTAGCGGGTCAATTTTAAGAAATACAATGCAGCCCAGCCGACATGGCTCAGTGGTTGAGTGTCAACCTATGAAACAGGAGGTCATGGTTTGATTCCCCATCAGGGCACAGGCCTGGGTTGTGGGCTCGATCCCCAGTGTGGGGTATGCAGGAGGAAGCCAACTGATGAAGTTTCTCTCTCATCATTGATGTTTCTATCGTTCTCCCTTCCTCTCAGAAATCAATAAAAATATATTTTTCTTAAAAAAAGAAATACAATGCATTTAAAGATAAAATTTTAAATAATTTTAGGTAATAGGAATACCTATTTCAACTATAATGGAGAATTCATATTTCTGTTACAACGTAGGAAAACGATTCTCAAAGGTTTTATATTTACTAAACTGAATATTGATAACCATTTAAAATTTTACTTATACATTTTTTTTTATTTCTTATACCCATGAAAAAGGAAGGCAATAACCTAGCTGGTGTGGCTCAGTGGTTGACATTGATCCAGGAACCAAGAGGTCACTTGTTAGATTCCCAGTTAGGGCACATGTCCGGGTTGTGGGCTCAACCCTTAGTAGGGGGCATGCAGGATGCAGCCGATTGATGAAGTTTCAACAAACTATGTAACTAAGTAACACCCACACATCTTCAATCCTTAGCTTGCTCAGAATTATGAGCACAGCACTTCTGAATACATGGAAGACATTTGCTAATATGCTGTTACGTGTATCTATATACATATCCATATGCATATACATATACACACAGGTATACATATACACAGGTATACATATATTTATATTCTATTTTTATTATTCTAAAGAAAGGTCAGGGCACATGCCCAGTTGTAGGGAGCATGTAGGAGGCAGTCAATCCATGATTCTCTCTCATCATTGATGTTTCTATCTCCCTCTCCCTCTCCCTTCCTCTCTGACATGAATAAAAATACATATTTTTAAGTGAGAAAACTAATATTCAGAGAAATTTATAAACCTCTATTCTCTGAGTCCAAATACCTTGTTCTCATAATTATATGACACTGAGATGAACAGGATCTACTCAGAAATTCAGTAATTAAATTTTTCTTAAATAACCGATACTAAGGAGTTTACTAGCCAGTCAGGTTTTGTCACACTGTTCACATCTCTGTCTCCTCTGAACTCAGGACAACGCCCTGAGGAGCGAGGCAGCAGCACCTGTGTTCACAGGGCAGAGGCAGTAAGACATGAAGGCCCCACAGTTAGCGGCAGAGGCAGGACTTAACCTCAACTCTAGCTCCTATGTTACTAATATGGACTTTATACTCTTTCCATTTACAAAGGCATTTGAGACCATTTATGTAGAAGACATTTATATATCCAGTTTACTGAAAAACACACTAAGAAATGCACCCAAACTCCAGGTTAAGCCTCGTGCTATATTTTGAGTATTAAGTGAAGTTCTGAGTTGTTTGGTAGACATACAACAGGAAACCAGGAGTTTTGTAATTCCCAGGCCTGCTAAGAAAGTGTGTGCCAGCTCACAAGACAGGAGAAATTGGCCCAGACCCAGCTATTTCCAAATTTATCACTTCAGACCCACCCAGGAAGAATTAAATGCATACCTTAAAGAAATCAAAGAAACCTATCAATTTAGCTTTTCCAAGCTCTTTCTCTTTCTCTTGGAAAAAGAAATACCCCGTGATTCCCGCATCTAGGAGCTGTGGGTTCTCCTTGGCCAGCTGCACCAGCTGGAGCCGCTCCTCCCGGCTATCCCTACCTCTGAAGAAAGCTTTCTCTGTCTTATTGATCCAGGAAGGCCCTAGAAGGTCGAGACCATAAAAAAAATATATTTAGAACTTTTATGTGGTAAATGTAATCATCTTTAATCTAACATTGTCATCTACGAGGTTAAAGCTCTTTTATCATCACTACGTCTTCTAACGCAGGGGTGGGGAACCTTTTTTCTGCCAAGGGCCATTTTGCTAGTATAATATCATTTGTAGGCCATACAAAATTATCAGCTTAAAAATGAGCCTGCTATATTTGGTCAAACATTTAATTAACTCACCCCTAATGCCTTGGCAGGGCCAGACCAAATGATTTTGTGGGCATTATACCACCCTCTGGGTGGATGTTCCCCACCCCTGTTCTAAAGGAAATGCTATTTTCAAACATTATGGGATTAGAATGCTCTAATTTCATTTGTCTGCTAGGGAGAGCTCACTCAAATGTTAGAGTTTCTGTTGTGCAACATTAGAAAATATACAAAATATTACTGGACCAAGTTCAAAGCAAAGAGAGATTCATCGACTTGGCCTGTTCACCAAGGCATTAGCTTCTTCCATCTTTTTTGTTTGTTTTTGTTAATCCTTACTTGAGGATATTTTTTCCATTGATTTTTTTAGAGAGAGTGGAAGGGAGGTAAGGAGAGGGAGAGAAGAGTGAGAGAGGGAGAAACACTGATTTGAGAGAGACAGATCGATTGGTTGCCTCCCACACTTGCCCTAACTGGGGCTGGGAATCGGACCTGCAACCTAGGTAAGTGCCCTTGACTGGGAATCGAACCCAAGACCCTTTGGCATGCAGGCTAATGCTCTAACTACTGAGTAACTCCGAACAGGGCACTTCTTCCATCTTCTGTGCTTCATAGTACAAAATGAGCCAGCTTTTGTCTGTAGACAAGGTGACCAGAACAAAATATGTAACTAAGTAACACCCACGCATCTTTAATCCTTAGCTTGCTCAGAATTATGAGCACAGCACTTCTGAATACATGGAAGACTTTTGCTAATATGCTATTATGTGTATCTATATATGTATACATATACTAGTACATATACATATACTAGTACATATACATAAACACAGGTATACATATACACAGGTATATATATTTATATTCTCTTTCCTAATAGGGAAATATGGAATAATTAATGTAAATATATTTCTATTATTCTAAAGAGAGGTCATTATTAACATCTGTCAGTGTTTTAAGGGATAAATCATAAGACATAGAAATTGGAGAGGATCAAACTCATTACTATGTTAGCACACTTTTCAGAAATTCACTGTTATCAAATAAAAAGTAGGTCAGTTTTCCTTTCACATCATCTTTAGATAGTTTACAAGGCGTCTCTGGTCTTGTCTATTAAATCAGTCCACCAATCCAGAGTAAACAGAAAGAGGCTGTAAAGAGAAGGCAGGCTTTCTTCTACTCAGGGAGTTCAGTGTAATGATAGGTGTGTTGTGCCATAAACCTAAGGCCATTAAAAATGGGAAAGGAATTCAGGTTTTAAAGAATCAAGAGAAGCAGAAAGAGGAAAGGGGAGAATTTCTTAGACACAGTGTTGGAGGTAAGAATATCCAAATGATACTGCTATCATATTCTCATATATTCATTTTATACTTTTCAAAATTATCTCTCACTTCATCTAGCAATATAAAAACATTGGTGTCAGAATTCAGTGACAATTTTACCAAATATATATGTTCAAATAGTAGTTGTAAGTGACCAACTCAAAAGAGACTCAGCTCTGAGAGGTGTGCACATCACTAGCCCTGCTCATGTATCTTTAATTTTTGGATTAGAAGAAGCCTAAAGAAACCTCTTTGGCATATAGGGTGCTGTTTCTCTTTTTCCTTGGTTAGAAAATAAGAAAAATGGTTATTTAAATATATATACATATACCCTCCTTGACTAATACATCCCCTTCACCTTTTTTATATCTAAGTTTTTTCTTAGAACTTGAATTTACCTGTATTTCCCTGAATAGAGAGGAGATCATTTGTAACACCCCTCATTGCTTCAAGTGTGGAGTGAGTGATGTCATACGTCGGAAGGATAATATCTCGTGAATCCAGAGAGCCACACCATGAAATGATAGGTAAAGGGCCAGGCGTTTCATTGACTTTTCGATGTTCCAAAGGCCAATCTCCAAGATTAATATAAAATTCTAAATCTGGGAGAAGGACCTAAATAAACAAAAATATAAACATCAGTGCTGAGAAGACCTCAGTGTTTGGTACTAAATGTTTTAGTTCTTTGGCTTTCTTAAATATTTCTGATAAAATGAAACATCTGAAAATAGCAGCAAAAGAGGAAAGAATGCCTCAGTCATCAGTGGTATCAGAGAATCAAGGATGAGGACAATACACAGTCAATTCACTTAATCAAGAGTCAGCTATCTCTGTTCAGGGGTGACATTTTAAATTGGTCAGTAGTGTAGAAGTTGAAATTGTACAGATGGGTATGAATGAGTGGCTTTCTTTCTGGCAGCTGCCTAAGTGAGAATCTACAAAGTTAGACTCAAGCCCTTGTTTTCCTTCTCTATCAAACCTCTTTATCGCTTCTACCCTTGATTCTGGAATCTACTACTCCATTTCCACCTCCACGGTCAATGCCTTAGTTTAGGTCTTTATCATCTCTTGCCTAGATTGTTGCAATAGCTCACTTCCTAGGTGTTCTGGTGCTAGACTGTCTCCACTCCATTATGTTTTCCACATTGCTGCCCACATTTCTAAAACCAAAGTTAATGTTACTACCAGACTCAACAGTACCTTAAGCCTTTAGGATAAGGACTAAACTCTCTGGCTAGAACTCAAGGTCCTATTATTACCTTTGAGCCTCATCTTCTATCTGCTTATGTGCCGGTAAACTTTAGGCCACGCTCTGAAAATGCCACCCACTTTAATATGTAATTCTCTTTGGCCGGAATGTTCTTCTCCTACTTATTCATTTGGCACTTTCCTTTCTCATCCAGAGCTAATGTTACCTCCACTATGACTCCCCCTCCCAGGCATTTTAACCTGGTACCTATTTTTCTCTCAGGCCTATCATGTTGTGGGACAACTGTTTGTTTGTATTCACATTCCATCCTCACTTCTAAATCACAAAAACAAGTCCCATGAGAAAGAGGAGCTCTAAGACCAGAGGTGAGACTCATTTCTCTTAGATTTCACCCCAGTCACTGGGCAAAGAACCTGGAACAAAACGGAAGGTCAAGGGATGTGACTATTCACCCTATTGCTTTTCTCATATCTATATGTATAAAAGGCTAAGCGACCGTCTGACCAGTAGCTATGATGCACAAGGACCACCAGGGGGCTGACACTCAACGCAGGAGCTGCCAAGTTGCGGTGACTTAGGTTCTTGGGTGATGCACCCCGGAACCAGAGAGGAGGGAGCCCAATTCTGGGATATGTCACCCGAGAACCACCCTCTCGCAATCTGGGACCCCTTGGGGGATGTCGGAGAGCTGGTTTCGGCCCGATCCCCACAAGCCAGGCCGAGGGACCTTATGTGCCAGAGGGACCCCGCGTTCACTCCGCAGACGCCCTTTGAGCTACAGCATCGCCCCAGGTGTGGCCAGTTGGGGCGGGACCATAGGAGGTTGGCTCCAGGGCATGTCCAGCCTGTCTCGCCCAATCCCGTCCTGCTGGCCACCTTCTAATTAATTTCCTTTCAATGTGCACGAATCCATGCACCGGGGCACTAGTAATGTATAAGCTCATTAATAAAGCCCAGATCAGGAGTCCTCACTACAGAGCAGAGTTTCTCAATGTCAGCACTATGGACATTTAGTTGTGGGCAATTATTTGCTGTGGTGCTGTCCTGTGCATTGTAGGATGTTTAGCAGCACCCCTAGCCTCTACCCATCAGATGCTAGTCTCAACCCTCCCGTGGTGACAACAAAAAATGTCTCTAGACATTGTCAAATGTTCTCTGAGGGCAAAATTATTCCTAGTTAAGAACCACCTGAATACAAGATAGGGGAATATAGGGCAGGGTGGCTGCTGGCAGCCCAGGAAGGAAGCACCACCTTTAGGATCAGTTGCCCATATGTTTATATTGTGGACTGGTGGGGAGAGGGGAGGCAACTGCTGGTCAAAATCAGAAATGATTGCAGCAACACATTCAGTGTGCTTGGAAAATTATACAACTCATATCAAGAAAGTTGGCTTTTGGTTTAGAAAACTACCTCGATGGTCTTTCTGGATGAGAAACGTCAAATTGCCCATCTTCACCCCTTGCTCTACATCAGCGGTTCTCAACCTGTGGGTCGCGACCCCTTTGATGGTCGAACAACCCTTTCACAGGGGTCGCCTAAGACCATCGGAAAACACATATATAATTACATATTGTTTTTGTGATCAATCACTATGCTTTTAATTATGTTCAATTTGTAACAATGAAAATACACCCTGCATATCAGATATTTACATTACGATTCCTAACAGTAGCAAAATTACAGTTATGAGGTAGCAATGAAAATAATTTTATGGTTGGGGGTCACCACAACATGAGGAACTGTATTAAAGGGTCGCAGCATTAGGAAGGTTGAGAACCACTGCTCTACATGGTCAGGGAAATAGAACAAAAATCGCTTTGAATTACTCTACTTAAGAGTTTTACACGTGGGGAAATAGGGCTAAATAGAGGATTTGGAGTGGCAGGTGGTTGACTGAAAGTACAGGGAATACCTATTTTTAAAGGCTTTTGTTTATTGATTGATTGATTGATTTTACTATGTATGGGTACAAAACAACCTTTCTCTGTTACTCCACCCTTTGACAAAATGTGCCATACACAGAATCTTTCAGAGGTGTTTAGGGTACAGCAAGGAAGCTGTGTTCTAAATTCAAGTCATTCTGAGGTGACAAGAAGAAAACAGC